GCCCGGCCCAAGCTGAGCTGCCACTGAGCTGCCAACAGGTGGCAGGATGGCTCAGCTAAGAAAAAAATAAAATTAAAAAATAATGCCTTATGGAATGATTTCTATTTTGACGCTCCGTGCTATCTTCCCCCTCCCCGTTTTTCAGTTGGTATCATGGTGCCATCACCCGGGCTGAGGCTGAGAGTCGACTACAACCCTGCAAAGAAGCTGGTTACTTGGTTCGAAATAGCGAGTCGGGGACCAGTAGGTACTCCATTGCACTAAAGTGAGTCTTGAAGCTTCATGGGCTCCCCCGTCTTGATACAGGAGGGGGGTGCCCTGTGACAGTCTTTTCTTTTGTGGGTAGATGACCAGTAAAAAAAAAAAAAAGATATCATTTGCAGGTGGTCCACAGGGGCGTGCATTTCCAGAAAATAAGATGCATTTGCTTGGGCAACAGAATAGGAAATGCTCTGACTAGAATACAAAACTGGTATTGGGTAAACACCATTCATTGTCATTGTACATTAGTCGATTTCTACTTTATGCTACCTGGTCCTCTCACCAGAGAAATAATTCCCGATAAAAAGAATAATTTCGAACAGGCCAGGTCAGTCGTTCTTCTTGTATTACCTAGTGGTTGGGGGATTTTAATACATCAGACCCCTTGCTTGTCCAAACGCCAACTGCAATTTTGATACCCGTTTCTTCTACTGAAGAAGGAAACGCTGACTTGCTAATTCCTCCCCGAGTCTGGCTGTACACAGAACATGCGTTTTTGCCTGGTAGGTCTGGTGGAGCTTGGATCATGGAAATTCTCGGTGCTCGGCGAGCTCAGTGGTGCTATATTGGAGGGTCATTGTCAAGGGCCCTAACAGTATTTCCTTCCTGAGGAAGCTGAGCCCCTGCAGCTGAAACAATCAGACTGCGGGGGAAAGAGGTTGGGGTGGGAGGGTGTTGGAGCAGCATGGCTCAGAAAACGGGATCGGCCACGAGATACACAATACCAGGAATAGCTCTGCTCTGTCCCTGAAACCGGGGCTCATGGATTTGATCCCTGAGCTTTTGGTGCCAGCTGTCATTACGTACGACCAGGAACCGTCTATCCAGATTGGGGAGGGGGGTCGGTGGGAAACAGGGTTTTTATTATGAGGAGGATGATGATGATGATTAACGTATTCTTTGGGAAGAAAGCAGGAGAAAGCCTTACACATAGCCTTTCAGCCATGACAAATATGGTGAGTTTAAACCTCATCTTGGTGGTGTCATACTTGGGCATCCAGCAGTTTGGCACCTTGGGGGCCAGGAGGGACTGGGCTTTGGTTTGACAACGTGAGTGCATCAAGGGTGACACACAGTTAGCCGAGGGCTCTCCACTGGAGGGTTGAATGCGTTTGTGTTTGTATATAACGGTGCCAGGAGCAGATGAGGGCCTTCCCGCCTCTGAAGCCGGCTGGGGTTGCTTTCAGTGGGGAGGGATCCCCTGCTCACTGCTTCATGTCTCCGCCTTGATTTCTGTTTTGTTCCAGGACTAGCCAAGGATGTGTCCACATCATAGTGGCTCAGACCAAGGACAACAAGTACACCCTGAACCAGATGAGCGCAGTGTTCGACAGCATCCCAGAAGTGGTACACTATTATTCCAATGAGAAGTTGCCTTTCAAGGGGGCGGAACACATGACCTTACTCTACCCCGTGCACAGCAAGCTGCACTAAGGTTCAGCCGCCAAAAGCCCAGCCAGGCCTCAGCACCCGGCCGGTATCTCAGGGGACAAGGCTGGACAGCGCCATAATCATTGGTAGGAAGGGTGGGGTGTGGTCTTCACTGAGAAGTCAAAAAGTCTTTGGCCTGGAATCCATTCCATGACACTTGGTTACCGACCTGTCCCTTTCCTCCTTGCTAAGTAGTTCTCCAATAAGAAACAATTTACCAGTTGCCTCCACTCTCTGGAGTAGGGTATTCAATTTGGGGTTTTACCCTCAGGAAAGGTAAGTCAGGAGTCCAGGAATATTAAAGGTTTCCGGAAATGTGCTAGTTGTCACCTGGAATACCTGGTTTCTAAACAAACCAACAAATGTGCACTTGGCTTTTACCTAAAACAGCAGGAAAAGATTGTGTGGACCAGAAGAGCGTGGAATATCAGACCCCTTCTTGGGCAAAAGGATGCACAGTGGAAAATAAGTGAATGGCGGGCCCCTCAGAGAAAGCAGTCTTTCTCGAGTGTCCTGGTTCATTGCAGCTCTGGCGTCTATGGAAATTCACAACTGTAGGGTCTGGCAAAAGGATGATTTTTGCTGGTCAGCCTTCTAAGAAAGTTTGTGTTTTCTCAGTCTCTGTAGACTTTTCAGCATTTCAGCACATTAGTGACGTAAGCGTAAAAAGGAGGGTTTAAGAATCACCAGTATCATTAAACATTGGAATCATTATTAGAATTCTGCGTTATAGGCTAAAACACAACTAAGATTTTATTTCTGATTTTTTTTTTAAATCTGAAAATGTGCAAGGCTCGACAACTGTTTTCTTATTGGATAATTATACAGAACTTCTGCCTTTTGTTTAGTCTTTGTGGAACTGTTTTTCATTTTTGTTCCTAAAATTTGATTTGCTTTGTATTTTTAGAGTAAATTAAATATATATATATATATATAAATATCACTCTAGGATCTGATTGTATGAACTGGGTCTCTAAAGCCTGCTGTCTCCCATGCTATATATACAAAGACCGGTTCACATTGTATAAAAATATTTTAAAAGACTGCGGTTTTCTCCAACCACTACTGCTTCAGATAGGAAATTAATATTCATAGTATTGTTATCTTTATGATTTATCATGAACTTTGTCGCCAGTTTACTTACTGTGAAAAAAACAAACAAACCATGAGAAAGGCATACTGTGAGAAGATGCCTATGTTAAGCAGATGTTTCTGTATCCTGGGGTTTGTAATTTGGTTCTCAAAACTGGTCCAGATGCAAATATGCTGACTGTCACCAATGAAAAGTTCACTTCGGCAGCTTCTTTAAAATACACAAAAAGTGTTGATTTGGTTAATTTGGGGGAAAGCATATCTTTCTAGTTATTAATCATTTTACTATCATGATTTTAGAGGTTAGTAAATATTTGCTTCGTTATTCAGTTAAGATTGTAGCCCAAGAGTTGTTTGATCTTTGATTTAAAAAACTTGAAAGGAACTTTTTCTCACTGGATCCCAAAGAATTTATGAATAAAGAGTGTTCTGTTTCTTACATGCTGATAGGACTTTTTTTTTTCTGATAGGATTTTCTAAATGTGTATTAGTTTATGTACTATAGCTTTAGTACAAGATTTTTTTTAATTTTTAGCATCCATAGTTCCAGTTCCATTCAAGAAATATTTATTATCTTGCATATACAAATAATCCAGTTAAACTTATTTTTAGTTCAGTACCCTAGAAATCTCATTTTTTACTTAAACTTATTCCACAAAGGAAATACAGCAGCTATCCTCATTTTAACAAATACTAAAAGCTTTGCAAAATTTTTCTTTGTGTACTAAATGATTTTTGGCCCATACCCAGCAACTGTGATGAATGTATAATGAAATAACATTTTGAAAGCAGACCTGATACATGAAGTATTTATTGAGCTTCTAGCAAATGCTCACTGTTGTGCTTTTTCTAGACTTGTTTTTCTGTGGCAGTCATGCTGTTTTTTCTTTATATAATTAAAAGTGGAGATGTGCAGTTTATTTATAGTCTAGTTCCTTCACAATTGTACAGGAGGTTATAAGAAGAAGAAAAATCATGAATGAGTAGAAGGAAGGTTAAGCTACTGTTTTCTGCTTCAGGTTGTGGTACAAGCTGACAAAAACCAGGGAATTCACAGCTGGGTGGTGACACAAAGTACCATATGTTCTGGAAACAATTAGGCCCAGCGGGGTGTCCCCAATGGCTCCCTTGGTGAGCCTTCTGGGCCAGCTGATCTGAAGCCCTCTGATAGGTTTCCTCCTGCCTGAGCTCCAAGTCACTTTGTCTTGAGACAAGCGTTTTACTCCCATTTTCACTCTCTTGCGTTAATTCTGTCTCACAGACTATTTTCTGATGCTTTCTGGATCAAATAATGTCTTCTAGCAAAATCGGTGCTCTCTTGAATTTTGCATCCATGGAGCCTCCTGCGTTTTGTTCCCCTCTCTCACACCTTTTTAACAACTGCTGCAGGTTATTAGTTGAGTTTATTTAGTTAGTTTGTTTCAGGCCGTGAGAACCAAGGGTAGAGGGACTTCTGTGTTTGCTTTGCTACCATAGCTATTTCCATCAGGACGGATTCCAGGCATTGTGGAGTTGTGTGTATTTAAATAAGTAGGACTAAAATAATGGAGAAATGTTAATAGGTGTACGAAAGGTAAATGTTGATATGCCTCCACTCTCCTGGGGACAGACGTGTGCTTTCAAATTTTCCAAAGTACTTGCTTACGAAGTATTGATAAAAAGAGCCTTCATTCTTAACTGTTGAAAGTCTCCGTGCTTTGCTGAATGGTTATTCATTCATTGGCCTCTGCCCCAGAATGGGGACCTGAACAGATGATCTCTGGGGACAGCCAGACATTTTTGGATACAGGTGGGAAAAGAGTTTTAATCAGTTGCTTTTTAAATGAGGGTAGCCTTTCTATTCTATTAAAATGGCTTTTTTTTCGTCAAAGGGTAATGCCTCATTTTTCCTCCAGTCTAGTGCGGGGGTAACCAAGATATCTGGGTTTCATTTACCTTCTCCTCCGCGTCCTTTTAATATTCAGAATTTCCTGAATACCTTCCTCGGAGATGTTGCTCGTCCATGCGTTGTCGCTCTCATTTTTCATAACCAGCAGGATTTGGGCCTTATGATCTCTTTAGAGTCACTCTTCTTTATTCTCATCTTGAGTTTTTTGTCCCCCATTAACTTGGCCTTGGAGAAGCTTGGCCTGCAGTGGACCTTAAGGAATCCACTTTCATTTGTGACCCTGTGGCAAGAAAGCGATGGAGTGTTACTGCCATCTAACGGAAAGAGAGCAAACTGCAGTGGGAAAAGGCACACATTCAAGGGAGGGTTTTCTAGAGGATTTCTGATACATAGCGTCAAAAATGATGACACAGCAGTTGCCATCTTGAAATCTGTCTTTTCCTGCGGAAAGGGTGATTTGCAGCCTAATACAGCTATCGAAACAGGGCCCCCGGATGATGGCTGGATCATGTCATTTAGAATCTTGAATTGTGTTTTCATGAATATGCTGGTAACAGATCATTGAGACAGACCTCTCGTTTTATCTAGTTATTCACCATTCGGTTATTTTGTCAGGGGGCTTGAACATTTTAAATATCAACTAATACATAGTTTTAACTTTTGAAAGTATTTGGAGATTGTCTGTAAGCCTATCTGTAGAGCATTAGTAATTTATATCAGAAGGACTTGATAAAATGTCTGGAGGTATCACAGGCGCCAGTACAGTCTGCATGCCCTCCTAAAGATGGTTTACTCTAAAATGTAACTTTAAATAAACATTATTCCAAGAAAACCACGTTTTTACTTGATGTAATTAGTTTTGAGAACCACCTCCCTTCGTAAAAAAAAAAAAAAAAAGCCCTGTGGTAACAGCTATAGCAGAGAGAGGCAAAAATTTCATTTGCAGTCGTTAATAAAATGTATAAATAAACCATGAATGGAACATACCCAGCGGACCTGATCTTAATCTTTTTCTCAGGTCACGGTTAGAGCCCTTCTGTTATGTTTTCATTCCCAAATAAAACGGTGACATGGCGAAGTTGTACCCTGTTGTCCTTGGCCATCTCATCTCCTTCCTGAGTGAGCAGACCCTGGTTGCTTTTGTCTTCGTCTCTGGTGAGGCCTCGGAGTTGTGGCTTTGGTTTTT